TGTCATAAGGTGGGGATGGCTTTCTCTTCTCTCTACTGTCCCTCCACACCACTCTGACAGCCTTCCTCAGCCAGAAGACCAGGAAAGTAACTTTCTTCTTAATTTCTCCATCAGCTACACATCCTGGGGTGAAGAGCTGGCTCCTAAGGTACCTTCTCCACACCCCCTTGAGATAATTCAGTAAAAGGATCCTTAGCTGGACCTTCCAGGATTGAGTCACCGATTGCTTTAGCAGAGTCTCTTTCATGCTTCAGGTCCTGACTTCATCTGTGCGACCCAGATTTATCATGTGGACACTTTCTTTTTTCATTTTCCTTTGTTGACTGTAGCTAGACGTGTTTATTTCCCTCATCGGTGTTTCTGGTGGATTTCAACTGGAGGAGAGGAGTGAAACTGCCTTTACTCCCTCATGTTTAATTGCACCTCATTTGGTAATTACCACATGATATTCCATATGTCATAGAACACACTTACCAGTAGCTTAATGATCTAAATTGGTTTTATTTGTTACCTAGAATTGAGCAATACTTTATTCCACAAAAGAGAATGTATATGCTGATGAGCTCGGTAAAGGAGTTTAATTTTATATATAGAAAAGTCTGAAGAAAGCAGAAACAGAAAACAAAGCTTGGATTGCTCATTTCAGATTTCCCATTCTCGTAAAGGTGAAAGCTGAGGGAACTTCCTTATGCTGTATGGGACTGGCCCTTACAGAGTTGGCTATTATCTCTCCATGTTTCCTGATTTCTCAGAAGATCACATAAACAACTTCGTTTCAGCTTGATGATATGGAACTAGCAATTCCATAATGATATGGAACAAGTAATTCCATTTTGGTTTGGTCTGTTGAAGCCCAGTGAAGGAGCTCCGTACAGACCAACAGCCTCCTATAAATTTCATTCAACATTTCATATCAGAGTTAACACATCAGGCTGAGACTTCTGTCCTAAACAATCATACATTGACATATTTTTCTACTTTTTCAAGTCTAGTGTTAAGTGAAGAACTTTTATAGTCAAGCTTTTTTTGTTTTGTTTTGTTTACTGTTGCAAATTAGATATTTTAATATTTTTCCCAATGGTAATATTTAACATTATTTGCAACAAGAGAATATATTAATTTTTTGATGTTATCTTTGTGTTAATCTATCATTTAAATATTTTTGTTGCTTACAATATATTTTCTATTGATTCTATTGAGTTTTGCAGTAGAAAACATTTGGAGAAAAAAAGTCTTAATTTTGCAATCTGCTTTCCAATATTCTTTTTTTTCTTTAGGTATACTGACTAGCCCTTAACAGATCCATATTAACTCAGAGTGGAGATAATGTGTTATCTTGTTGTTTTTTTTTTTTTTTTAACTTTAAAGGGAATGCTTCTAATGTTTAGCAACTGAGCATTGTGCTGACTTCCAGTTTGATATCTTTTTGGCATCTCTCTCTAGAAACACTGACCTGTATCAGTACTTTCATCAGTTCACTGGTTCAACTTCTTCTAGCATAACATTGGCCCTATACAATTTCAATGTGTGCATTAAACTCTTCCTTAATTTCAGGACAGTGTTATCTTTGCATTTCATTTTTTAAATTTTGGGGAGGTTCTATCTACAGAAACATCAGAATTTCCTACAGTAATCTTTGTTTCCATTTCCATTGTATCTTTAAAAATTATTAATTTACCTGATGTTTCAAACTGTTCTCTATATCACTGATTTGTCTTACTACCAATTATTTTTCCACTTGCTGTTGCTGCTTATGATTATATTTATGATCTTGTTTTGGAATTCTCCTCCATTTCTTTTCTGAGCTCTGCCATATCACTTTTAAACTCATTTTCTTATCTCATCTTTGAATACTGACACTCTTTCTCTTTTGAGTTTAGAAAACTGTATGTCCTTTAATATTTTTGGTTTCCTAGGGAAATGTTTGGTATGTTTTCCCACAAACTCTTAGCCTGGGCAAGGCTCTACTCAAGCCCAGCTGGGAGTCACTGGTTCATAGTGAAGTATCCCAAGTCCCAGTGTCTGTGTAATGATTTGAAATTCTTTCACACATGTTTTCAAAACTTTCATTCCTCAATCTGTCAAACTGAGTCTTTGCTCCCAATAGCAGCATACTGGGTTTTCTCTTTCAGTCCTGCCTATTCTGCAAGTCTGATTTCAAACAGGACCCGAGTGTGTTTACTCAGCCCTTTCCACTGACACAGACCATGCCATACCAAGGAGGTGTAATTGACTTGTCCTCTCAGAAAACTCTGGCTATCCTGAAATATTTTGAGTGTTCACGAAAGCTGACAAGAAGTAATGCCCCATATGTCTCCTCACTCAGATAGTTCTAACCTTCCCCACATTGACCAAAGTTCTATATCAATCATTGTGTGGAAATGCAATCATTTCCTATTGCCATAAAAAATCGACTTTGTTTATGCTTTCCATTCTCATTGATTTTGGTCTGTTTGAAAGCAGAAAATAGGGCAGCTCTATCTTCTTTAAGTTGGACATTTCAGCAGTAACGCTACTAAAATTATTTTTATTTGTCTATGAACTGATTTCCTAAGATTCTTTGGTTTATTTAGCTACGTTATTTTACTAATAGGTCTTTTGTGAACCTTTGTAAATAATTTTTGTTCTCTACATGATAAAGTAGTTTTTGAATTTGGTGGAAGATAAAACATTTTCAATTTAATCAAGTTTCTGATTTGTTGCCCTGTGCTTTAGTGATGCAACCGATTCATTCTGCACTTCGTTGGCTTTACTGGTAACATGGAGTAATATTTGGGAAAAATAGCTCAAAATACATGAATTTTGTCTCTTCTTCTTTTCTTTTTCGCCTGGGGCTGGGTTTGAACCCACCATGTCTGGCATGTGGGGCTGGGCTCTACCCTTTTGAGCCACAGGCGCCACTCTCTCCATTCTTGAGAGGACCTTCACTTTCTTATTCAGACATACTAATTCACATATAAAATCTATTCTTAAGAGGACCTTCACTTTCTTATTCAGACATACTAATTCATATACAAAAAACTATTCTTAAGAGGACCTTCACTTTCTTATTCAGATATGCTAATTCTTACACAAAAAAACTATTAATAACCAATTCTGTTGTTTTACATAAAGTTTAATTAATACCTTAATAAGTCATCCTATATATGCAACTGTTTTGATTAAAGTAATTATACATAGTATATGATATTTCCAGTAGGACATAAGCACCTGTCAAATACTCTATATATTTTTAAATATATTTCCTTAAACCAACAATTGGATGGGAATATTAGGCTCTATGCAATGATAGCTACTATCTTAATTACACTTTTTCAAGAAATCAACATTAAATTAAATATCTACAGAATGCTAACCCAGTGACAGCAGGAGAAAACTCAAGTTGCCTTGGAGGCTCATTCAGCTATTTAATAGGAGTCAAGTAATTAATTCAACCATAATACTTCAGGAAAAGAGATCATGAAATCACCAGAATAAGGATAGTTTGCAAAGAACAAAGTGGAGATTGAGTTGAAAAAGTGCATGACACAGACTCACACACACACACATACCCCTATAGTCCTAATTGTACAGAACTGGAAAAGAAAAACAGTAGAATGGATAACCATTAGCAAGGTCTGGGGAAATGATGGGTCCTGAATGCAGAAAGAGCAAATATTATACAGCTAAAATAAAATACAATTGGATGAGTATAAAGAAGAGAGAGAGGGACAAATATCCTAAATATAGCAACAAGAAGCTATGATGAGAGGAAGTCATCTTAGGCAGATAAATTAACTGATTCATTTATTAAATCATATCATGCTCTAAAAAGGCTCAATACCAGATTTCAAAATGCACACACAGCAAAATCACTATACAATAATGAGTGAGGAAAAAAATGAGGGTGAGAAGAAAAAAAGATAATGAGATATATTAATAAACAACATGCATGTCACACAGTCCTGTTTAGGCTCCCAACAGACAAAGTAAACAGCAAAATGTGATCTGTTCAAATAATTCTACTGGCCATAAGAAAGATAGTCCAGCTGTTCACCAGCAGCACTTGGGCTGATTCAGTGATACTTTTCTTAAACAGACCGCATGATGGAGGGTTAACACTCGCAATGTCATTTCTACAATAAATAAGATATAAGATTCTGAGTGATGTTACTATAATTTCTCTTAGTTCAGTATCAATCATAACTGCATAAATATTTCAGAAAAGTAATTATGCAAATGATTTAGATAAGCCACTCCCAGATGGTCTGGTTTATCCAAGAGCAAAATTCATAACATTCAAAGCACATGTCCTTTAGGTAATCCTCTATGACTATCATTTTCACAACAAATAAATCATACATGAGATAGTCTTTCATAACTTGGTCATTATGAACCCAAAGAGAATCTGCCAAATAATTTCTGTCTAGAAAATGTAGCCAATTAATTACATGTTTTCTAAACTAGGCTACTCATGATTAAATATTCTCTACTTACCTTACTTTCTGCTGATTCCCATTTTCTTCTCTGGAGGGAGTTATTCCATTATAGAAAATGTGCAAGAAAATTATTCTTAGTTATAGCTCCCTGGGTTGCTGTTTAGAGCCGATTTTGTTTATAGGGTAATTCTGAGAATGTTATCAACCTGGAGAGATTACAAGTGTGCCTTATTCTATTAACTCACTGAAGTATCTGAATTCAAAATCCCAACAGTGGCCTCTAAGAAAAAAAGTTATTTTTCTATTATAGGGGAAAACAGCATGATCACACGGAGAAGAAGCAGTATTTCTCAAGTCGCTCAGGCTCACCAGACTTTGAAAGGAAAATTGAAATTAACTCAAGTAGTATAAGGCCTAAACACTAGCGTGGTAGAAACACCAGCAAGAAACCCACACAGCTCAGAGGTCTTAAAATTGCAGGTAGCTTGTCCTAGGTTGTTCACTATGTATTCCCGGAGTTAGTACAGCTTAACTACTCATGGTCTGGACAGACATTTATAGTTAATGGTAATAAAATGGTACCTCAAATCAGCTGCCTTCCCCGTCTTGTTAATGCAGGTAACCTCCCTGGTCTGGTACCCAATCTGGATGTCCCAGTATTTGTTCTCTTGCCGGTTCTGTCTGTTTCTGTTTCTCTTTTTCTTAATAAGTTCACGGGCCTCTGGATCCTTGACTCCTTTGCCTCGGTCTCTTTCCCGATCTTTATTCTTCCCACGTCTCCTCGCTTGTCTGACTTGTCGTGAGTGGGGCACTGAACACGTGCTCCAGGGCCCCACGTGCAAGCTGTACAGGAGCTCGTCGGCTTCACAAGGCCCGGACTGGCACACCTGAAACTCGGTCAGGTTGGGGCAGCTGGAGCCCCCGAACTGCGGGGGTGCCACGACATGGCGCGTGCGGTGCTGCAGCCCACTGCCACAGGTCTTGGAGCATTCCGACCAGGCAGAAAACTCGGACACGATGCAGTCCTGCTGGCAAGGGATGAGGCAGGCCTGCTCCAGCAGAGGCTTGGGTTCAAAGTACTCGCAGATGATATCCTCGGCGGGAATGTCCCTGTCTTTCTGGATGCACGTTATCTCTCTCACCTGAATGCCTTCTTCTCCCTTAATGCACTCAAGGGGTTTCTCCAGGCTTTTTGAAATCACGGGCTGACACTGATTCCAGGGCCCCAGCCTCCAATCGTACAACTCTTTGTGCCAGTCACAGACTTTGAAACAATTTTGCTGGTTATTGGGTCTCTGGGCCGGCTTGCAGTTCGTGTGCAGCGTGGTCCAGCCCTCCACGTGCGCACACCACACGGCCCTGGTCTGGATGCCTCCCGGGCCGCACTCATCGCCCATGCATCGGCCCCACGGACCTGCAACACAGCGCAAGAGTTAACACTAACAGAAGAAAACCACAAGTTACTTCACGTTCCAGAAAGACCTTTCAAGACCTAGTACATTAACTTCCCTGAAGTGTTATAAAGTAGGTCTCCGCACGGCACTGTTGGAAAGTAATGATCTGCGCTAAGTATTTTTTTTTTTTGCGAAAGGGGAACTGTGTCACGGAGTCTATATAAGGTAACTGCTGCGATAATTTCACTTTGAGTCCTTTGGGGATTACTAAAAGTTTGCTTTTATTCATTTTTTTATTTTAGGTAGTTAGAAATACTTACTCATAAAGGACATCAGAAATTAGTCACGGAGAAAGCCCATTACTCCTGCTTCCCCAACCATCAAATCCATTTCAGTAACTGGCAAAGAAAACGGCCCCTTGTGAAGACCTTCTCTGGCAGGGTTTTCTTTTGGGGGCAATTAACTGTTTCGTAGAACTTTCTGTCTTCTGCCTCATTTTCTTATCTCTATATGATTGCGAGGGTCTATGGTTGTATATTATGTGTGCTGAAAGAAGTTGACGTGTTCCTCATTGTCTGATTACCAAAGCCGGGAAGTGAAAATCATTTAAGCACATTTTGCCTTCATAATTACAAAACATTATTTTTTCTCATTTCCTCAGTGAAATATATAGGGTTGGGTAAAGGAATTAATATTTAACTAAAATATTATTGCAGTTTTTGAACATTGAGGAGGTATGTGGTCTTTTATCAATTCATTTATTTCTCAACTATGAACTAGTTGGTTTTATAGAACTGTTTTATGAGATCCTTAAATTGGTGGCTTAAGTATGAAACATGGGCTTTTTTCCTTAGAATCCTTCTAAGAATAGATTGAAACCTTTTATATTCATATATTGTATCTTTTTCTAAGGTAAATGATATGATTTTCAATGCTGTAACGCACAAAAATCAATTTGCAGATTGAGTTTGAAAATCATATTATTTTGGAATTGTAAAGAAATTTAAAGATCACATGATTACATGATTTTCAAAATGTGTTCCACTAATTTGAGGCATTGTGTGCTACAGCTGTTTTCCATAGATGTGTGGGAAGGGACCAGCCAGCAGGTAGGTTGGGCTTTAGCACCCCCACCCCAAACTGCTGCCCCTGCTTTGTTGCCCCTCTTATAAAAAAAAAAAAAGCTCCATTTTTATTAACAAGGAGATTATACAAAAGATTATACAAAAGCCTTTTATACAAGAGGCTTCTGTTGTGAAAAAGTGAAAATCACTGATTCACTCTATGGATAAGAAAAACCAAAGAAAAGAAGGGAAAGTGCGGTGCCAACTTAAAATATTAATGTTTAATGAACAACAAAGCCATTTAGGATATCTATATCTACTGCTTCCAAATCTTAATCTTCTAATTTATTTTAGATTTTAGAGCTTGAGCCTTAGACACTTTCTACTGCACCAGCAATTGTTAGTCTATAAAGGACGTGCTTCTCATATTTAATCTAAACATTTAACTCGTTTAACAAGAATGATGTTTATAATGTGATGAGATTATTTTCCTTACAAATAGAAAAATAGAGTTGTAAATAGAAAAGAGACTTACTGTAAATAATCATTATTGCATGGAAGCAAATAGCGGATATTTGGCAAACCTGTCATTACTTTATGAAGTTCTTATGTACATGATTACAGGACTTACAATACATTTAGGGAAGCAGCTTTCTCAAAATGTTGATGCCAAAACTTTGTAAAGCCAGTGGGTTTGATGCATCTGTTAACATACAACACCTGATATTTTAATCTTTTTAATTTGTCAAAATATATATATACTATATATATTTTCACAAATCTGGTGATGCTTTCATAGAGCTTTACTAAATACTTAGTTTGGAGAATCACACAGAACCTAAGACTCTTTTCAGTAAGGAAACTTTGTAATATGTAGAAAATGTTAGAATTAATCACCACCTCTTTAGTATTTATTCCCTTTATCCACTATGTTTGGACAAAATGGTAATCCTTATTTTCTGTCATGAACACAGCATATAAAGATCTATTTATATTAGACCATTAAGTTATACATTACATGCCATTAAGGCTAAATTTCAAAATATAAGTGTCATACAATAACTCACAATCCCAGATGTAATTCAGGCAAACTTCTTGATGTTATTATTTTCCAATTCTTGATTTTAATTATGAAATTAGGCTAATTAATCAGATTGGGGCTATAAAGAAATTAGTCTTCTATCCTTAATGTGAAAATATAGTTTACAGCATTCTTATAAAGTTAACACTTAAAAATACTTACTTGTACATTTTTTGATAGATTGCACTATTATCATTGGGTACCTTCTAATGAACTAATGACAATATTCTATTATAGAAACCTGAGTATGCAAAATGTGAATTGACTTCAAGTCTGTGTTATTGCTGAGTAAGGAAAACATATGCCAAAAATAACCATTTTTTTCTAAAATACAACTATGAAAAGAATTAGACTACACTAGCTAATTCTTAATTCTGAAAATTACTCTAGATGACATAATGACTGGTGAAGATATTAAACATTTACAGACCAAATTTTAGTAAAAAAATCTTGGCTTCTAAGTTTATTCTAAAATAAAAGTGGATGGTGGTTGCTTCAAAAATGATTCATGGTTTACTGATATGAAATTAGACACAGTTTCCTTCCTACATATTTTCAAAGCACCATGCACGTGTCTCATATAACATTTAGCCCACTTTCTATAATTCTGTTGACTCATTTTATGCCAAATATTTATTTATCCTATTAGACTAAGTGAATGGCCCCTTGGGGACAAGTCCTTGTCTGTCTCTCCATAGTTGTAGGCCATGTACCCAGATAAAGCTCAACAAAGTTTATTGAATGAATGAATAAAATCAGAAACCAAATAAAATAATTCCAATTAATTTATGATTCAATAGATGCTAGTTGCACAGTTAATTATGATGAAGAGAAAATGTGCTTTTCATTAAGCCATTCTGACACATTATTGTCTGTTTAGAGATTTTTGTTTTAATCTAGTGATTTGAAAACACAGAAAATACCAGAACATATTTATTAAATTTGAAATATAGTTATAGATTCATTAAAACCATATCTGATAGTGCAATCTTGAGAACTTTTAATTTTTCCATGTTACCTCTGTTAATATTATTACATATATTTTGGGTAACTAAATATGTACATTATTTTTCTGAAATTGACATTGCTTTGTGGAAAGATTATCATGGGTGCCAACTATAGTATTTCTTTCTTCTTTTTTTTTTTTTTTGCCGGGGCTGGGTTTGAACCCACCACCTCCGGCATATGGGGCCAGCGCCCTGCCCTTTTAAGCCACAGGCACCACCCTCAACTATAGTATTTCTTACTAGAATAATATTCTTTGTCTTTTGAGATGGTTAAAAGTACATTTTTCAGCTATGATTTTCAAGTATACTGTAATAAAAATAAGGTATTTTATTTCTATTCAAGATGTATAGATGCCTTAAGAAATAAAGAGAAAACTCATGTGAAGTTTAATAATACTAGCATCTGATTTATGAAATCATGAATCAAATGTTCTTTTCCTGCCTTGTAAAGAATAAAATTGTGCTTCTTAATGAGACCAGGGACTATATTTTTATTCTTCAGTTTTAGGAAACTAAATTTTCCCACCCAAGGACATCCCTTTGAACACTTGCTTCTCTACTGATTTCTCAGAGTTCAACCTCACTGCAGTGATAACTTAATTAAAAAGTTACCATTTGGCATATAGAAATATTGTCAGGAGTTACTTCAAATTTAGAAGTTACTAGAAAAGTAAGATAATTATTACTTTGATGTTCCTCATAATGAAGAATATCACAAACACTAGTGTGTATATCCTTTTACATAATGTTGGATTAATAAATTATATTTATAGGCTTGGCACCCGTACCACAGTGGTTATGGCACCAGCCACATGCACCGAGGCTGGTGGGTTCCAGCCCAGTGGGGGCCAGCTAAACATCAATGACAACTGCACCAAGAAAATAGCCAGGCATTGTGATGGGTACCTATGGTCCCAGCTACTTGGGAGTCTGAGGCAAGAAAATCACATAAGCCCTAGAGTTTGAGGTTGCTGTGACCTCTGACATCACAGCACTCTACCAAGGGTGACATAGTGAGACTCTGTCTCAAAAAATATATATTATGTTTATAGAAGGTTTGCACTCCCACAAGTTTAATGGAATGTTCCATTATATTCCATGGTTCAATCATGTTTTTTACTTTTCGTGGATTACTCTTTGATAACTTTCCTCAATTATTATATTCAGAAAAGAGAGTGTTTAATGTCAATGCCAGCAGGAAGAAAGAGATTGAATTCAAGAGTACTAGTTTATATACATTGATAATGATAAGAATTTTTAAAGTATATGTAGATAACAATGAAAAACATACATTATACATAAAAATACATTTTACTTCTCATCCCAATGATATTATTACAGATTCCTATTAACCAGCTACTTACAGATAACACTGTTGGGTGTATTTCATTTCAAACATATTTACATTGAGAACCAGAGATAGCATATCCTGAAAAAAGCCCTTGGGAAGACTAAAGGAAAAGAATGAAATGCATGAAAGCACCAACAAAAGCAGAGGTGAAAATATAATCACTATTGAATCTAAAAAAATGTCATCCACCTTGAAGGCTGTAACTGGTCTTATCTTTTCATTGCACCTTGAATACTGCATGTATGTCCAATTAAGCAACCTCTCAAAAGATCAGATTTTCACATGTACACACAATGAGGAGTCATCTACTTCTGCCCTCCAACAGTCTTGACGTATTCAGACATGCAGTAGAAAGGAGACCATATCTGAAATTACTCTTGACAACTAAGAATTGTTAACCCAATTAGTTACCATGTTCAAGGCAGGCAAATGTTTTAAAGTGCAATTTTAAAGCACAATATGCAGACTCTATGAAGGAAAACATGAAGTGCTCTATCAAGTATTATATGAGAATGTG